TACGGAGCCCAACAATGGTCCATTTCTGTTTAACCAGAACCCAATGGATACACGATATCTTTCCAGGTCTGGCCCAGAAAATTTCAACGTCCGGACCCTGAAAATAGCCAGGCTCGATTCTGACTCGTGCCATTGGGTATTGACGATAAAGATGTCTAAACCTGAGGCATCGTGGACCATTAGCATTTTATTAAATTGTTCATTGTTCAACAAAGTTAGGAAAACATGGCAAAGACGTCCATCATGGCACAAACTTTTCTTAGAAAATGATTTTGCCAGGGAGTGTTCCTAGAATAATAATCATAACATCAATGATCAACTAACATATTTAAAATAATAATATTACTACCGATAGCATTTTCAGTTAAACTAATCTTAACAAATAGTAAAATAACTTTAAAGAACCGGTTAGCAAAATATTTTAAGAAATAATTAACAAGTGAATTACAAACAAATTTCGGACTCGGCCATGCATAGCAATTGCAAGTTGTTGAGTTCTAAGTTTAGCATGACAACACAACATTACCTTACCTATTAAGAGAAGCTAATATCATTTAAACAATGTGCATTGCAGATAGGATGGCATCGGGTCGGATTCGGGGTCCGTTTTAATTTTTTATGGGACCCGTTTTATATCAATTTTTTATTTTTTACCATTTTTTCCTATTTTAAAAATTAATAAATATTTTTTAAATTTAAAATTTGTTATAGAATCCACTTATATCGAGCGTATGTCGTATTGTTTTTCTATTATTTTATATATATAATAAATGTTTTTGAAGATTTTTCATTTTTTTGTCTCATCCACTTCATATTAAAAGCATGCCACATATCAAGTCAATGGCTTTTTTGTTTTTTTTTCATTTTTCCTTTTGATTTCTTATGTGATTCACTTTATACAAAAAGCATGCCACGTATTTACCTTTTTTCTTTTATTTTATTACTTTTTTATATTTAAAAAATATTTTTTGATATTTTAATTTTTTTATGTGACCAATTAATACTAAGGATATGCAAGTGTTTAAATCATTTTTTTCTCTTTTTTTTATAAATTTTTTCTATTCACTTTCTCTTTTTTCCTTTTTTAATATCTATATTTTTTAATATTTTAATTTTTTTAAATGTTGGACCCATTTGATATTATTGATTAAATTTTTTTTATTTTTTCTTTTTTTCATTTGATAATTTTTTAAGAAAAAAGATATTATGAAGGTGTTACATCTACATTTTATTTTTTTTCTTTTTTGGCCATTTATTTTTTCCTTTTTCCTTTTTATTTTTAATCCATAATATAAATTTTGAAAAAAAAAGAATTTATCATTTAAATATATGTATTATATTAATTAAATTATTATTAAATATTTTAATTTAATAAATTTTTGTTTTAATTTTTTTCATAAATATTTTTTATATATATTTTAACGGAAGAACCCATTTTTTTACCAATCTTTCTTTTTTTTTTTTTCCTTTTTTGTGAATTTTTTTAGAAATATTTTTTAAAGATTTTAAATTTCTTTTATGTAGGACCCATTTGATATTATTTATTAGAATTTTTTTTTCATTTGATATTTTTTAAAGAAAAAGATATTACACAAGTGACGATGTCACATATAGATTTGATACTTTTTCTTTTTGGCCTTTTTTTTCTTTTTATTTTTAATCCATAATATAAATTTTACAAAAAAAAGAACCCATCATTAAAATATATGTATTATATTAATAAAATTATTATTTAATATCTTAATTTTTGTTTCAAACTTTTTTCATAAATATTTCTTTAATTTATATTTTTTAAAAGGTAGGACATATTTTTTTATCAATCCTTCTTTTTATTTGGCTCTTTTCTTTTTTCTCCCTCTCTTTTTAAAATATTTTATAAATATATTTAAAGATTTTAAATTTCTTTTTATATGAGACTCATTTAATATCAAGGTCATCCCACATGTTTTTTTTTTCTTATATATATAATAAATACTTTAATGATTTTAAATTTTTTTTGTGTGACCTACTTGATACTAAAAGTATATCAAGTGTCAAATTATTTGCTATCTTTTTTCTTTTTGAAATAATTAATAAATATTTTTTATATTTTAATTTTTTAAATTGATGCTCATTTGATATTATTGATTGAAAATATTTTTTTCTTTTTATTATTTGATAATTTTTTTTAAATGATATTATGATGTTGTTATCGTCACATTGGGATTTATTTTGTTTCTTTTCTTAGTCTGTTTGCTTTTTTGGTTTTTTAATCTACGATATAAATATATGTTTTATTATTAGTTTAATTTTATATTTATTTTATATATTATATTAATAAAATTATTATTTAATACCTTAATTTAATAAATTCATATATCATTCTCATTTCATTTTCTTTTATTTTCTTTTTTTTATCTATACTTTAAATTTTACTTATATAAAGAGATTTCGTAGAGTGTTCGTAACATTCCAATGCTTTTATTTTTAATTTAAATTTTTTAATATTTAATCAATATCTTAATATATATTTTTTTTTAAAAAAATTTTTATGATAAATAAATTATTTAGTTTTTTAAATCAAAATAAGATGTATCGTATTTGATAATTTAAGACAAATAATTACAGGTTGTGCATTCAAAATGATTCTAATAAATAATAATCGACAGAATCGAACTTAAAATATTTTCGTCAAAAAAAATAATTTTAACCGATTGAATTAATTAATTGTTGATATATTTTAATATTTTTATACTTTTATACCTGAGATCCGTTGAATATCGATAAATAAATTTTGCTAATGTACAATTGCAATAGCGTAGCTAAGGAAGATGGCAGGTGCCATAGCGGCCCAAAAATTTGTTTACACCATTGTGCAGAATGCCACATCCCACCAAAAATAATACTTGATACTTTCTTTTATAATAAAATTACTATTTGACTCCTCGTTTCTTATATTTCTGGCTTCATCTCTATAGATTGTATAATGTTTTCCGAAGAGGCCATCGCGTGGCACCTCATCTTCCTCTCTCCTTGTTCTATGGATTCGACCATCTCGTCCACTCATTTTATTTTCAGTAAACCCCATCTCCTTTTACAATTTTTTTAGATGGGTCCCACCAATCATTTTTTTTCCTAAACCCCATCTGACATTTTTTTTCATCATTCCTTTTTTGGATGGGTCCCTTTTTTTTTTTTAGATGAGTCCCACGGTTTTTTAATTCATTTTTTATTTTTACATTTTTGGATGGATGGTTCCCATATTTTTATGGTTTCTAAATTTTTTTTAATTCTTTTTTATTTTTTAATTCATCTAGATTCAAATATATTTTTTATTATTTATGTAATTTTATATTTATATATATAATTAAATATAAAAATAACCCTTATATTATATGATTTTTATTAATTTAATATTCAAAAAAATAAAATTATTAGTTTAATACTTTAACTTTCATTTCATTATTTATTTTGATATTTAAGACTAATACTATTAATCAATTTATTGATGTGACATAAAGATTAAATGAAATATTAAAATGTGTCAAAAAAATTCAATCAATATTGCATTATCAATTACCCATCAATATTTAAAAAAAAATTGTAAAATTTTTTAAAAAATCTAAAATATTCTCAATTTAAAAAAAATTTGAAGTATTTTAAAAATTATAAAAAATTTTAAAAATTGAAATATTTTTTAAATTATGAAACTTAAAAAATTCAAAATATCTCAACATTTTTTAGCCTTTTGTTTTCAAATAAAATTAATTTTATGAAAGAAGAAAGTCAATAGAGTTGTCCACAAGCCCCTCCCATTTGGCTTCGTTTCTTTCAACTTCTTTTTAAAAATTTTTTGATTAAAAAAATTTTACAATAAAAATATTAATTGATAGAGATAAAAAATAATTTGCATTAGATAAATTTTGATCCATTTTGATCCAATAAACAATAATTTTTTTAGAAAGGATTGAGTTGGGATGAATTGGATATTTTAAAAAAACAAGATTAGGTCGAAAGCATGTATAAAGTACTTTATTTTAACATATTTTAGGGTATATATAAAAATATTTTTGTTATTAATTTAACTTTTTATTTATATGTAAATTAATAAAATTATTATTTAATATCTTAATTTTAAAATTAATATTTTTAACTCAATAAAAATATCTGCATATTCAACAATTATATGATCTATTAATAAAATATTAAAATTTTTTAATTTTTGTGATTAAAATTCAAATTCTCATAATGTTAAAGTATATATAGATATAAAACCCACATGCCACCTTTTATGTAATCTTTTTTATATTTTTTCCTTTTCACTATTTTTTGGGTTTTTTATTTTTATTTTTATTTTTTAATTTTATTTTTTCTTTTTTCCTTTTTTTTTGTTGGTTCTTGACTATGATTAATGTCTTGTTAATTAAATAAGCGTCAAAACTACCAAAAAAAAAAAAAAGAAGCCAAGTACACCTTAGATCGCAATCAACGAATTGGTGTCTAAGAGATTTTTTTAGATCAATAGATAAAAATTAGAAAGTTTTCCTTTATTAGTGATAATTTTTTTTTATTATTACTCTTTTAATCTATCAAAACACATTATTTCAATTGATTTAAAAATAGTGCGTTCATATTATTTTTTTTGTTCATTTTCCAACATAGCCGTTATAATGAGAAGTATTTTTATTTTCTTTTATTTTATCATTTTTAGTTTTTTAAATCTTTTTAGGTCTTTTATTTTTATTTTTTAATTGGATAAATTTTATGAAAAAAGAAGAGCAATGAAAATATTCACATGTTATTTTCATTTAGCTTTCATTTTTTTATTATTTTATTTTTTTAATTAGATAAATTTATAATGAATTAAAAAATTAATTAATAAAAATGCCAAAACAAAAAAAATTTAAGCCGCGACAATTCATCTATTTAATATAACTAATGATAATTTGACACGTTTTAACATCATCCATTAGCACTGCCGATCTTTAAAGCACCAACGTTTCTGTCTCCTTCTCTGACTCTTGCCTGCCACTCTTACCGTAATTCCAGTAATTGTTAAAAAAACAAAACCTGTAAATTTGGAGAGCGAATGTATTACTGTTCTTTTTGGACATAGCCATGAGGAGGAAGTACCTCTAAAAGCTTCTTAGCCGCTTCGGCAAGGAGCTGAAAACTTATTTCATAGTAAGTTTCCGTTACTCCTTACTTTTACTTTCGGTGAATTCCTTTTTTCTCTTTGTGTCTGTTTGGTTCCCAAGAAATTTGAAGTAAAAAAAAATGTTTACTTTGGTTTTTAACTTTTTGAGTTCCGCAAAAAAAAAAAAAAAAGGCGTGAAAGTGTAGGCAAGAATTCAAACCGTCTTGTTTTTTCGTTGGAAATATTAAGAGGAGAATTTTTATTTCTTGTTCTGAAATATGGCTGTTACTGTTTCCCTTGTTTAGCTTACAGAGAAACCCAACAAATATAGAAGATTTTAGGCTTCCTTTTTCTTTTATTATTACTCTTATTAGCATTTTTTTCCCAAGAAAAGAAATATAAATAACTTAAGACTGAAACTTTCAACCCAAAATGTTTTTGTCAGGAGAAATTTCGTGAATGTATCCATCCAGGGTTTGTGCTCTACTAACAGCTAATCGTTGAAAAGATTTGAAAAGTTGTTGTCTTTGGTGTTGGGTAGTTGAAATTGCTGATGGAGATGAATTTGGAGGAAAAAGTTCCAAAAAGTGAGCTTGTTTGTGAGAGAGAGGTGGGAAATTGTAGCTGTAGTGAATTGGATGAGAGGAGCAAGAAAGCCGAAGCAAGGTTTCTGGAGCTGGAATTGGAGGTTCTAAAGTGGAAAAGTGACTGTGAAGCACTTGAGATTAGATTTAGGACATTAGAAGCCTCAAAGCTTGTACTTGAGGATGAAGTCAAGGTTTTAAAGAGTCGGAATAAAGAAGTCGGTGATCTGATTACTGAGAGCGACAATGAAGAGATAGTTGGTTATGGAGGAAAAGGGGTGACAGAGCGAGTTGTTGATTTGACTGAAGAGAATGAGGAGGAAGATAGGGTTTTTCAGCTGATGACTGAGAATAGGTTTTTGGAATGTGAGAAGAAAGGCTGAAATTGAGGCTAAGGTTTGGAAGCAAAAGTTCAAGGAATTGGAATCATTGACGTTGCAGCTGCAAAAGAGCTTGGGTTTGAAAAGTGTACAACAGCCATTTGATGGAAAGACATTTAATGCAAATTGTTGTATCGTAGCTTGTGGGAACAAAACAAGTGGAGCAATTAAATCAAAAGATGGATCACAAGTTGGAACCACTTTAAACGACATGCCAGCCATAGACATAGCAGCTAGTTTCATGGATTCTGGATCGACTTTGATTTCCCCTGGTAAAGGTACTGGAAATCTACAACCAACAGGTAATGATGATTATTTTGTCCCTATTTTACACTTTATATTTTCTCTTCCAAGTCATGCTAGCATTAGGAGGCCCAAAAACATTTCAATCATCAACAAATAGAATGGATTCGCCTGTCTTCTATTAATTCTGTACGCATCATTCTTTAGAATATGAGATTTATTTGCACTTAGAGGTCTTAGATTTTAAGAATTTACTTGAAAGCTACATTTTTATGTGTATCATAGTGATTTTTTTTTTTTTTTTGATATCTAGGAAGGACTCAGTGATATCCTTGTTTGTACATCCATTTGTTTCTCAAACACAAGCATGCCTGTTATTAAAAAGAATAATTTGCAAAAGAAAAGTAATTTATTTCTGATTGAATGGTAATAGGTGTACATCACAGTTCACAATCTTTATCTCCCATATTGGTGTTTGATTTTGTGCAGGGACACCTTTTAATGACACACCTTACAAGCATTTTACTTCTGATAAGGGAGATTACAGAATGCAGAGTAGTAAATGTGTTAAAAGACATTTGGTGTTTCAAGAGAAAAGAAGCCCCACTAAACAGATGGCTCCATCCACTCCAGCTGGTGTTAAACCTGCTTCAGTCGGCATAAGTGATATTCATGATAGTGACGATGAACCTGATTTGGCCCACAACCAAATACCTTCTACAAGTAAGTGGGAAAATGGGGATGGTAACATTTCAACTAATTATGCATTAGAAAGAACTGTGAATGGTGAAAATGAAACCAGGACGATTAGTGATCAGAACCAAAAGGAGAAAGTGGGTAGTTATGCGGATAATGTTCCATTTATTTCAGTTCCCAAATGAAAATGTGCCTCTAATATTGTTACTAGTGACACAGAGAGTGACGATGATGATAATGTTCCGATTGGTAAACTCAGGCAGATGCGTTGTGACGAATTGGTTCCTGATCAAACAAACATCAAATCCAAAGGTTTTCTGGTGGCTGGTTCTCCCCCTGGGATTGACGATTTCAGAGGTACTTTAACTCCTCGAAAGTGGAGACTAGTATCACTCAGACAATCTGAAGGAAAAGTCCAAAATTGCTCTTCAAGGAAGAACAGTGAAAGTAAATTCTGCAAAGGAATCCCTACAATTGAGGATGTTGAAGATGACAATTCATAAGAGATTGGGTCAGACAGTGAGACTAATAGTCTGAATGGTTTTATTGTTGATGACTCTGATATTGCTGATGGTGATGGTGGTTGTAGCGAGTCAAAAGATGGTTCCGATTGCAATAATGCTCATAGTGAGCAAGAAGATGTTTTATGTGGCAGCAATTCATGTAGTATCTCAAGAGATGTTTCAGAGGATGAAGTGGACTTTGATGTGATTCTCTCTCAGCTTAAAAGGAACAAGGATCATAAATCAGTGTGGAACTTTGAGGGAGAGATGCTTGCGGCCTTTGGCAAGGATCCAGAACTGTGCATGAAGGCTGTATGTGCTCTCTACCGGCTACAAACATCTGGGGAGAAACTTTGCAGGGCAACCTTGTGCCAAAATCAGAGAGGTTTTACTAAATTTGAGGCCCAAAGGTGTGGATTTGATTGTTTGTGGTCATTAATAACTTGTTATCTGTTGACAGTGTTTTGAGATTAGATCACTGTCATTTGCATGCTCCCTTCAGTGTGTTGTTACATATTGCTTTACATTTTATTAGTATAGATGCGTGCACTTTTCGCCTTTAGTTGTTTGACCGTTTGTTGTAGGGTTTTCACTTTATTTCAGTTTTTGTTCTGTTCTATCCTAGGCAAATTAGTACGATGACGTAAAAGCAAAAATAAATCCCTGCTTCTAGCATATAGTTTTATGGTTGCCACACTTCATAAGAGTTGGCTGGCCATCACGTAAGTAGAGTTTCAAATTAGGTACTTTAAAGCAGCTGAATTGTATTTGCTGGAATTTCTGTTGTGTCTTACGACTGGGGCTGTACTTTGGCAGAGGTTCTAACTGACGGTGATCCACAAGGAGATCTAAAGAAATCTCTGAAGGAGTTGCAAGCGTACGATCCAAATGCAGTTGAGCTTTGCAGGAAATTTGGCAACCCACTATTCTAAGCAACTGTTTGAGATCTACAACAGCAAAGAGGATCCTTATTTTTTTCCATCTTAGGCGCCCTGCAACAAATCAGTTCAAAGATGTATGAACCGAAATCAATAGCCGGGGAATGTTGTTTATGGTTATTTTTCCGTTCTCTTATAGGTACTAAGCTTGTATCTTCTGGTGTTGCATGTAACATATGTAATTTGCCAAAACTCATAACATGCTAGCATCAGTAAGCCTTCGAATATGTGTATAGAACATACGGCAAATGTGTATAATCTTAATCTCGTATCTAATAGTAGCTTAGAAGTTATACTTTCTTTTGTATTTTTGCTAATGCTTTGGGCTTTATGTTAATCAAACTTGTTAGGAATCTCTGCAGTTAGACAGCTGTGTATCTTTGCCCTCCAGAAAAGAAAAGGGAAAAAGAAGTGAAAATGAAGTATTGCCCATTAAACAACCTTAGTCGTGTAGAGTTAAGGTATTAATTCTTGAGTTCTGATCACTGCAAAGATAGAAGCTTGCTGATTGTTTAGAACGCAGGCTGGAACTTGAATGAAGGAGATAGGCAGCACTCTTTTGAGTTTTGATAACCAAATTGGTTATGATGAACTCTGAAATCTTTAAATTTTGTGATTCCAGTACTGCTCAAATTTGTGATTCCAAGTGCTTCTGGCGCATTTATAACTGCAAATTAATTATTATAATGATTAGTTTAAATTTCTGGCGCATTCAGTGGGAAAAAGAAAACGAAGAAAGAAGAACAAAGAACAAATATAATTATTTTTTCTAAGATTACGTCATGCACATATTAGCTATTTTGCTTATGCTTTTCTGGTTGTCGTTTGTTTCTATTACGATCTTTTGACTATGTTTTCAATTTAATTTAATTTAATTTTTGAGTCAAATCTTTGTTTTTGCCTTCAAAAAATCCTTATTTTTTTGTCAAAACACATTTTTTCAAATCCATAATAATTTTAACAGATGCTTACACTGATTTGATGTTTAACATTTTTTTCAGGAAAACAAATTTTCTTTCCTCCCAGAGTGAGGTGTACATGTACATACATACCTAAATATAGGTATGTCTGTGTAAGCAGTCGTCAAATTCAGTTTAAAAAATGGAAAGAAATGAGAAACGAAACACTGAGGAAGAAAACATTACCCATTTATTTTCCTTCTTTTTTTGTTGCTAGAAAATGAAGTGAATAATTTGATCGAGAGAGACCCTTTTGACTGAATAACAAACTTTCAATCATTTGGATACAAGAGTGGAACCAGTTCGCTCTCAAATGCAATAAGCTGGAGAGAAGGGCTTCCACTTGATGCTAACACCAGTCGCGAGCATTTGTAGGTTAAATAATCCCTTGTTTTCATTTCAAGGGGATAAAATTAGAAATGAGACCACATCAGAAAAAAAAAAAATTAACTAAATGATCAAAATTGCCCCTCAACTTGAGCAGTGAGAAACTTAGTAATATCAATAGCAAAATTGTGCAACAAAGGAATATCTATGTGCTACCCTCAACTCGCATTTGATGACCGAGATTAGGATCTACAGCAGTGAAACCGTTCATTATTTACCAACAGCCTACCGTATGAATCCACAGGAAACGTCAAATCTTGACTCTTGTGACCTAGAGAAAAGAATCTACACCAAAATTGCATATCATCAGCCTGCCACGTCATCCTTATCCACATCAAAAGATTGAACTTTGTCTCCTCAAACTTCTGTAAAGAAGCAAATGCTTAGAAGACCAAAAAACTGGCGATCAGCAGCTCTTGTTCGTCATGAAGTTGCATAATTGTGATGTAGAACATACTTCACTACTTCATAAAACGAAACCACAATCCCAACCGAAGGGCCAGCACGGCCAACACGAGGACCAACTCCTGTAAAAAGTCCCCTCATTCCTCCATCCCTGTTCCAAACAAAATATGGTAAGAAACAGCTCGTTCCAAATTATACAAGAAAGTTTTGACTCAAACCTATCAACATGATCTGTTCTCACACATAATGCAGCACAACCAAAATATGAAAGCACAAAACTCATGACAGAAGAACAACCAAGCAACAAGTAATAAACAACTCAAATTCCATCAACACAAATAAAATTTCCTCCAAAGAATAATGCTAATCAAGCTATAGGAACTTCAGAAAGGAATAACTGATTATTCTGATACCAAAAGCAATAATATAATCAAACAAGTTTAATTCCAATCCCATCAACAGATATAATTGTTTACTGCTGCCTAAAAGAGCTTATAAACAACTGATTATTAAAGGTCACAGTACAAGTTTGTGGCTTTAGGCATTGGAACCACGTTATTCTCACAGTTACCATCTGCATGAAAGAAACTTAATTCAATTTACAAATATGGTGAGCAGGAAAGATACCTCCAAACTTCCATCAGTGTCTGTCTTGTTGTCATTCGCAATGCCCTCGCAGGGTCCTTCTGAAAATTAAGACAGAGATGGCATATTAGAAAATGGTATTGACTTAAAACAGCATTTACACTAAGTGTAGTTCATTATCCACTTCAAAACTACTGCTTTGGAGAAATTAAAACCACTTGATATATACCAAAAGTAACTACTAATTAAGTACTGCATATAACACAGTGTTGTCAGGGGCGCAAGGCGCACTCAAAGCACCAGAACCTTTATATTGCCTGAGGTGCTAGGCGCAAAAAAAGCATTAGCCTGAGTGAAGTAAGGTACAATATGTATATGTGGCTAGACATATAATAAGTTTACGATATATAATTCCGTCCAACTTTGAAGAGTGGTCCACTTTTATCCTACAAAATATGCTAATTTCCTTTTTGTTTTATTGGCAAATATGGACCATTTCCATATGGTCACAAGTTTGTTGTTGAATACTCAAACATTGAGAAGTAGAGTTTGATATTGTCCTATTTTTTACTATTAAAGCTAAAAGTTAATGAAAATAAATAAAATAAAAGAAATGCTAGAGAACTTCAATCAGGCAAGCTTTTTTTGCACCTATCGCCTTACAGAAAAGCATGCCTAGGTGCACCAGGCATGCTCCTGATCAAATTAGCCTTGCCTGAAAGGTCTGAGGCACTTTTGTTCTCTAGCGCTAACATGCAGTGCCTAGGTGCACCTAGGTGTAAGCTTTGTCAACACTGATATAACATACAAGCCAACATGCAGCAACATTAAGAACCATTAATTAGCTTTCTAAGGAGAAAAACCTCTATCTGTCTTCGAGTTTTAGCAACATCTAGAGGACAGGTAGCAGCAGCAGCTAGGCTTCCAGCAACAAACCCAGCAGAAAAGTTTGCCCCAAGGACAGTAGCTACATTGGATTCTTCACCCATGAAACCCAGAAGTCTTCTCCTGATCTGCATAAATAGATACAATAACCAAGAAATTCAGTTGCTAGCATGTGTTCACTAAAAAATGCCAATGTTTTTCCTAAAAACTATATTGCTTATGGTGGAAGGGGTTAGACAACTATGGGAGTTATAAAATATGGGAACTCACAGGTTCAAGGGTTGACCAACAAATTCCAGAGAAAGGAACATCACGAGCAAGCTGTGCTCCCATGCCTGTCCATAAAATGCGGTAGCCTAGCACTGTCAAGGGAAACATCAGAAAATCAGGATTAAAATTTCAGGGAGGCAAAAAAAAGGTTTGTTATCTGTAATATGACAGAAAAAATGCCCATTCAGTAACAATTACTCTTCTGTTCTTGATGGAAATGAATCAGAGTTACTTCCTTCTGTGAAGGCTGTTCCTTGAGCACCGCAAAAAATATCATATTTGTTTTACTAAATTAACTAGTTGAGCTGATTTATGCAGTAAGCTTTTAGAATGAAACAATAATTCCAATAAAATGACAAAGAAAAACATTGGTTATTTATTAATTATGAGTTCACACCCAACATAGTAAAAGCATAAATACTTCGTATTCCGCAAATTGATCACAGAAGAAACAAGCATCATGTTGGCATGTTAAACCATCTATGTAATAATGTATTAGCTTAGACCAGATACATTCCATACTTAAATCAGATTTCATGAAAAACTTACTACTAAAGTAGCTAGCTAAAGTCCTACCAAAAAAATGAAAGCTTTATGTATCAGTTTCTCAATTTTCTGTAAACTCTGACATCTGAAACTGCTGAGGAGTTAAAAGAAATATGTCTACATCGTAAACATCTTATATTTATGAAGAACTTTCAATAACCTCATGTCAATTGCCAACCAATGAGTCATGCTAACTTGTACTGAAATGGGTAGACCAACATCTGAGGTCTTGAGTTAGTATCAATGATAGATTTATGTAATTCTAGATGTTTAGGACATAGAAAGTAAAAAAGAAAAGAAAAAAACCTACATCCCCAAAAGGCTGAAGTATTTAAAATGCTGAAAAAGTAGCAATAATCAGAAACTGGTATCGTGGAGATTAACTTACAACTGCTCTGAGAGTTTGTGCCCTTGACATTGGAGAGGACCCCTAAAAGGGTACTAAGCACTCCAGGAGGCTTCTTTCCAATTTGAGCTTCTTTAAATGCCTGTGATTGAAACAGAAAACTGAAAGAATTAGAAGATACAATGAAAAAGGTCAAAAGCTATCTATGAAATTTATAAACTTATTTACAATTTTTTTTTTTAGAGAAAATGAATAGAGAAATATCAAATCTTAAAAGTAAACAGATAAGAAACCTATTTTAATTAAAAAAAAAAAAGGAAAAGCATAATAGCATTAAATAACAGCAATACTGATGCAATCACTTCTACTATACAACAACAACAAACTAAGACTTATATCCCATAACTCCGGGGTCAATTGTATGAAAGGCCAAAAAAAAGAATCATGCTAGGTTGTAATTTAGAATCTTCTTGTGCCACTCATTTCTATCAAAAACAACCTTTTTTACCTACTTCCATAACTATCATATCATCTCTTATTACTTGTATCCACATCTTTTGTGATCTACCTCTAGAAGTTTTGGTCTCTCTTAAATCCAGAAGCTCATTTCTCCCAATTGGTGCACAGATAGGCCTGCATTTCACATCTCCAAACCATCTTAAATGGCATTCTCTCATCTTTTCCTCAATTCATACTACCCCTAATTTTTCTCAAATCTGTTCATTTCTAATATTGTCTCTTCTAATCTTACCACACATCCATCTAAGCATGCAACCACTTCTACCATGACAATAAAAATTACATGGATCAGTATACAAATTAATATCAAAATTACCTGCATGCGTGTTCTAGCAAGTTCAATAGGGTAGCATGTCACACAAGCTAATGACCTTGCCAAAGACCCAGCAACCAAAGGGACATATGGTGTTGCACCAGGCATTTGTTGTGCTGTGAACCCCTCCATCCAGTTGCGGAACATGTCATAGCAAGGTAAATAGATTCCCACCTGTTAAGAAATGTCAGCGACCATCATAAAAGCTTTATTAATCTTTAGAACAAGATGTCTGTATCCAAAAAACCTTTATCTGATTACTAAAAAGATTACTAATCAAAAGAGGAACTCACCGTTGGTACAGCCAAAGCCAGACCTGCATTAGTCCCTCTCCACAACCTAGAAAATCCCTCCTGCAGAACATGTCCCTTTAGGTGGTTGAAAACAGTAGAAAAAACAAACAAAAGCAATAAAAAAACAACACTTGGTGACATGTACTGTTAAGATAAAGCACTGCCCACTTTAGGTTGTTACCACGTTCTTAGCTACAAGATGACTGCATTGCAACACCAACCTGGCGTATAATCTTGTTGAAGACATCTAATGTTCCTTTGTACTGAAAACAATCAGGAGGACAAATTGCAACAGTGCCATGGACTCCGGCTCGTGTGCATGATGGTGAGCATCTTAAATCAGCAAACATCTAATCCAAAACATTGACAGATGGCAAAATTAAGCGCAGTTCTAACACTGCAAACAAAAAGATTAAAACACAAACCATAAAATTCTTATCTGAAAAAATGAAAGGTGAGGGAATAGCATCGCAATTGTACCATGTTCGGTCCAAAATATGCCATTCGACCAATAAGATTACTTAGCGGATGTGAGTAAGGTACTCCCGCAGCCTGAGCTTGCAACCTTGTCTGTTAACAGAAGAAAAAACATAGCAATGTTTGAAACCAAATTTAGACAGCAAGGAAACAATCGGTACAATGAACATTCAAATAACAAACAATCAGGCAAATAACAAGTAAAATATTTATTACAAAGAAGAATCGTGCCAATTATCATTACCTTAACAACATCGAGAGGATTAACGATGATGGCGGATAAAAAGGCGGCACCGGCAGCAGAGAAAGCTCGCTCTACAATCCCTAGATTCGAATCGGACGTATTGTTATTGTGCTGAGCAACGAATTCGCTCCCATATCTATCGGTTACCATTGGTTCCGTGATCGGCAAATCATGACTCTTGATTTCAATTCTTGTAGATTGCTCTAAACTCATCCATGGAGTCTGTGTTCGTCGGTCTGTTTCCTCCATCTTTATTTTTTTCTTCTTCTCTCTAGAAGATCGATAGAAAATAAGTGTGAAAATATAATTAACAACAGATTGATTCCGTGATAATCAAATATTAGGACATTTATATTGACTTTTTTCAGGGGAAAAACGGGAATTGAAGCGATTTCCCAAGTTACTTGGGAAGTGGGAAAATGCTTACCAGAATATAAGCGAGAGACGCACAAAACCCTCCAAACTTGGGCCACGTTTGGGAGACTTTACGAAAACGACTTTTTTTAGAGGTAAAAAAACAAAAAGCAACAGTGTTTTTCGATTTTGATTAAAAGAATTCGGGATTCCCCTTCTTTGGTCTAAACCACTGGTGAAGAAGAAAGTGGGTAATTTAGTGAAAATAGAACTGCCCTAGTCCTTGATAAAAGGAATAGAGACGTCATAAACAGGACCTTATATTTATTTATTTTGACGAAAAGTTCTGCCGTTGGGTATTCTAGAGCTTTCTATTCTGTACTTGAAAAGAAGCGCGATTCGCGGTGAGTCATGCACTCAACGGCGAGTGGTAAAACCCTAAACTTTTTGTCCAATAGTGGGGCAACAGAGAAAGTTAAATTTGTATTTATTTTAAAAAAAAAAAACGTTTCTAAATCTTTTTTCTTAAAAGCAACATTAATTTTTGTACGCCGATACCATATATATATATATATATATATATATATATAACACACAGGCTAGAAAGGATCCCTGCGTTTCGCTGCAGCCTGCAAGTATACGACTAGCAGTACAATGAATGAAAGAATATTTTGAGAATGAATAGGTAGAATAAATATAAGAAATTGGTCTTATAGATGCAATATGATTTTGTTCCTTCAAAATTCAACCAAAAAAAAATCTAAATAGTATAGTATATATAGATTTAAAGTAATAAAAAAATTAACATTTTAAATATGAAAGCAACAAAAAATCTTAATATAATTATTAATATATTTATATCGTATAAAATATTAAAATTCATATAATCAATTCATATTTTATAAAAAAATTATGTGTCATAATTTATATCGATACGAAAATATAAAATTTTTTATTAAATTTAATTATAATTATTGTTAAAATTTTAAATTGTATTACTTTTATATCTTATATTTATATCATTGTATCATATTTTAGATTATTAAATTTTAAAATACCTAAATAATATGAACTTAAACAAAAACCAACAACGCAAATGTAATGGGCTCGTGTAAAAACATAGTATAACAGATTGTATCATTTAAAAGTTAATTGGTTGGCATCTTTGTGAATGTAGTATGGTTGAAAGAAAAACAGCGAGAGCAACTTTCTAATAAATGCAAACTACTAGAAAATTTTATAGCAAGGAAAGAGAATAAAATCAAAGACTTAAGACCAATCAAAGATATTAGAGCAAAAAAAGCTCAAGAAGGGTGAACCGATTCAATGCTAATGTCCTTAACTTTTTCATAACCTCATCCATTATTATTTAAGAAAATCTCAAACTACTATAAGTATTAGAAAGCAATAAAAAATTAAAAGAATCAATTAAATCATGTGCTAAAAATAAATAAAATTATAAAAAAAAATGGTAATGATAACATTAAGTTTGCATTTTAATTTTAAAAGTGACACATCAAGTTAAAAAGTTATAATTCATCCAAAGTACATAATAATTTAGTTGTTGCTAATTATAATACTAAAAAAAATTGTAAAGTTAAAATATAAATTAAATAGTTATTCATCTACGAATGCAGTAGAAAAAAATGCAAAAAACATGTAAATCTACAATATCATACAGTAATCAGCATTTACATGTCAAATTTTTTTTTTTAATTTTTATGATATATATTAATAGCATGGAGTTTCAAAATTAAATAGTTAATCATTTTAACATGCTTTTTTTTTTTTTTGCTATTTCTTCCTTTTTTTCTTTTCAGTCCTCTTTGCAATCAAATAACAAAATAAATCTTTAAAAAAAAAAAACCGCATTCATAAATCTCTTAAGCATGCCAATTAGAATCATAAAAAATAGCATTACATACTCTAAAAATCTTACTTTTATTTGCAATTGACAAAATAAATAAAAATATACAATATTAAGGAATTGAATGAACTTTATGCAGAATCACATAACAAAAAAAAAATGAAGAAAACATCATAAAACTGTCTCTGTGCATTTTTTATTGGTTTCATCAGGTTTGCAAACTTACTTCAAAGAAGTTTGGTGGGACATAACTAATCCCTCTCTCTTCCTAAATGTTATTCTCATTTTCTATCTTTTTCAAGTACTCCTGTAACTTATATAGTTCTTTGTTCAAAGTAAATTTAATAATTTAAAATATAATATAATATATGATATGAATAAAATATAAAAATAGATCATAAAAATAATATAATTTAAAATTATAATAATAGTTATATATATATATATGTTTAATAAAATAAAAAAATTATAATTTAAATTTTTATATTGATATAAATTATAACATATAATTTTTATATAAAATATAATATAAATAGATAAATTTAATATTTTATATGATATAAATATACGAATCATCATAATTAATTAAATATTTTAAAATTAATTTTAAAAAATCATATATAAAAAATGTATTCAACGTTTTTATTGTTCCCCTTCACCTTTCAATTCGATCTTTCCGCAATTGATTTGGTGACTCATCAAGTCTAGATTATCATCTTGTTTTTTTTCTTCCCTCTTCCATTTTTCTTCGTCCTTGTTGTCCTTTCATCGATCGACCAGCTCACAATTTATGCTTGCTACTTTCTTTTTCCTCTTATTCATACTCCCTTTTTCTATTTTCCTTTTCTAATTTTCTTCTTTCTTCCTTTCGAAATCTCTTTAAAACAGAATAGAAGACTTGCTTTCTCTTTTTGATTTCCCCTTCTCTCTTTTCTTTTGTTTTTTACTTTGGAGTCTTTGAGAAATTTCTCGACACACACAAAAGCTTAGTTTTTGTTTTTAAATAATTTTTTTTTCACAGCTAATTGGCAACAGCAAGGCAACTATTCAACTCCAATAAATAAAAATCAACAGACAATTGTTCTTGTTACTCCATAGCTTAGGTCATTCTTTTCTTTGATCTTGTAAACACCATTTTTTTAAAATTTTTACTTTTATTATTTAATTTTTTTTTTCTTCTCATTTCTGCGTTTGTCTTCTTCTTCCTTTCTTTTTCCTTTTTCTTCATCCTTATTTGATTCAAATCTAGTACACAATCCCTAAAGTCAAAAGCACCACCGATAGCTGTCAACGACCGATAAGCCACCAATCACGGACAGTAAGTGTGATTTTTTAGTTGAAAAATGAGATTTGAATCTAAAAAAATTTGATATTTGAATCCTAACAAGCTCTATAAATAGAACTTGCAAACCAGACCAAAAAAAAAAAAGAAAGAAAAAACGAAAAAAAAAAAGATTCTGCCGAAAAAAAAAAAGAAAAAAAATCTGCAAAAACACAAAAAAAAGAAGCAAAAATAATCCCTTGGAACGGGGAACCCAGCACCAAGCTACACCTACAAAGACACCCAACGAAAATAAACCAGAAAACACACAAAAAAAAGTGTTTTTTTTACCAAAACTTTGAGCCCCGATTTACGTTGATTGATGTTGTTTCCGGTGAAAAGGAGACCGGATCTGGAAAGAGGGCGTCTAGAGGAGTCTTCGATGACCTTCTGACCATTTTTCGATCATCGGTGACAACCGCCGATGGTGGACCAAGCGGCGGTCGGACGACGATCGGCCTAACCCCTCACCTAGAGCTCCCTCTCTCTCTCGTTTTTTTTTTTTGAAACAGAAGCCAAATGAATAAAAAAAAAAAAAACCTTCAGCTATATATAGTAAAGCAAAAACTCAAAACGACATCGTTTAGGGAAAGACCCAAAACGACGTCGTTTCAGCCAAGGATGATCCGCACGTCAACCCGCGACCCGTTTTCTTCATTTGCCTCTGACCGGTCTGACTGGACCGGAACTGAACCGCCCAGACCAAACCGAACCGGTACTGAACCGCATAGATCGAGCCGAACAGTCGGATCGAACCGTCGAACCAAACCAGACGTTGACCGGACCGTTGACCGATCCAATTCAGGTAAAATTTTTTTATTATTATTATTTTATTAATATTTATGCATATTAAAATATCTATATTTGTTAGACTAATTGATGAAATTGTGGTTAAATTTTTTATGTAATTATGTTAATAAACTTTAAAAACAATTATATAAAAATAAATTTAATAATAATACTAAAGCAATAAAAAATGTAGGAAAAGAAAATTTTTATCCGACGATGAGATTCAAAGGTATTCCGAGTAGTGATGCCTACGAAATCTCTAGGTGAGAAGATTTTTTTAAATACTACCAGCGTATTGGAGTATTTATAAAAAAATTTTAATACAGTAAAGATTTTTTTTAAAAATAATAAATAAAAATTGATTAATAAAAAAATATATAAGTAATAAAAATAGGAAGAAAAAAAATTTAATCCAATGATGAGATTCTAAAAGTATTCCGAGTAGAGATGCTTTAAGAAATCTCTAGGTGAGAAGATTTTTGTAAAATATTACCGACGTATTGGAATATTTATAGAAAATCTTCAATATGATTAAATTCTTTTTTTTTCTTCAAAATTTCAATTAAAATTAAAAATTAATAAAACAATTAATAAAATTTTCGAAAAAGAATAAAATGTGTGCATCAACATGTTATTATTTGCATTGCATACATGACATAATTTTTTACGAAAAGTAAATTTAGACCTCCCAAAGATGAGATTCTAAAAGTATTCCGAGTAGAGATGCTTTAAGAAATCTCTAGGTGAGAGAGAGTTCTTTTAATGTTACCAACGTACTGAAACATTTTAAGAATCATTTCAATAAAAATGTTTTGATTTATTTTTCTCGAGAATAATTTTTTAAAAAAAATCAAAGAAATTATTTCCGAATACTAAAAATAAGACTGTTTTTATCAAAATCAAAGGATAACACGTTGTTAATTGGTACCGTTTTTTTTACGGGCGTTGTAGGGGTGCTAATCCTTCCCCACACGTAACCGACTCTCGAACCCAGACTGTTTCATAGACCGTAAAATTATCTTTTTAATAAATTTTAATTAATTTTAAGATTTCATTAAAAAGATATGTTTTAATAAGTGGCCAATCGCACCTAGCCAAAAAAGATTAGTGGCGACTTCGTTATTTTTTTATTTCCAAATTCGTCGGGCGGACATAAAATCGTTACGACAGCTTGGCGACTCCACTGGGGACGTAGCCTTTTGTTTTTTAGAGTCAAGCCAAAATTAACTACTTGTTATCCTTAAATTTTGATTTAAATAGTCTTAATCAAATTCTTAAATTTTTATTCTTCGTTTTTAGTAAAAAAAATAAAACAAAACAAATCAAAAATAAAAAGCAAAAAAATTCACACACATTTCTCTTACTATGCCTCTTATGTTTTATTTTTTTTGTATATATTATTGTCAATAAATTAGGATATATTTGCACACAATGGCACGATGCATCTCATACATGAGCTCTATACCCGGGCTCCATCCTTTATAGGAGGAAGTAAAGTACTTATTGCTCTCGTGAG